CTCCTCCTCGCTTCAGGGCCATCCGGTCGCTGTCGCCGGGCTCAGAGAACGGCGTCACTGCCGCTGGGCGCAGAGAGCTGGGGCCCCGCGTGTCTGTCCTCTCCCCGTGCCGCCTCTCCCCTCCGTGCTCGTGCCCTTCTCGTCGGCACCCGTCCTCCGAATCCTGTGGGCCGGCACTGGGCTATCCTTAGGTCGGGCATGTTCTCCTACAGGCGGATTCTGGACGAAAAACTCAAAAAATCCGCCGACCCTGTCGGCGTGTGTGAGGGGCTTCTCCCTTCGAATCGTCGTCTCCGCGTCATCTCCTCGTCGTCTCCGTCGTCGTCAGTCGTCTCCTCGCCGTCTCCGTCGTCCCCCGTCCCTTTCCCTGGGCCCTCCTCCTCAGGCGCGCCATCCAAAGCGAAATTGAACAACGTCGTAGTGGAGTCGAAGGGAAGCCCCTTCCCTGTGATCCCTTCCCCGCGGGGGGGGGGGTCGCGGAGGGGGTCCGGGGGGGGTCGTCACCCAGATATGTTTCCCCCTCGGGCGGCCCCGAAGCCTGGAAAAGTCCCAAAAGGAGCCCAGAATGCTCAGGACGGCCCTCAAGATGGCCCAAGAGGGCCCCGAGTCGCCCAAGGATCAGCCCAAGACGCCCAAGATGGCCCCAAGACGGTCGAGGACGCTTCCAAGACGTCCCAGGAAGTCTCCACGAGCAACCCCAAGAAGAAGGCCCCAAGAGGCCCCAACCATTGGTTTTCCATAAGAAAGCCTACACTTTTAGCATATACGAGTTTTCGGCCTTCGCGGCGTTGAAGACGGTCCAAGAGGCCCCCAAGAAAGCCTCAAGACGGCTCAAGAGGCTCCCAAGAGGCGCCCAACACGGCCCAAGAGGGCTCCAAGAGGGGCCCAATACGGGGAACCCGAACAAAAAATCAGAGCCTTCCGCTCCAAAAAGCTCCCAGGAGGCCCCAAGAGGCATCCAAAAGGCCCCAGGAGACTCCCAAGAAGCCCCAAAGAGGCCAAAAAAAGGATCCAAGAGGCGCCAAAACGGCCCCCTTCTCCTCCTCCTCCTCCTCCTCCTCCTCCTCCTCCTCCTCCTCCTCCTCATCCTCCTCCTCCTGCTCCACCTCCTCCTCCTCATCCTCCTCCTCCTCCTCCTACTCCTCCTCCGTCTCCTCCTCCTGTCCTCCTCCTCCTCCTCATCATCATCATCCTCCTCCTCCTCCTACTCCTCCGCCTCCGTCTCCCATCCTCCTGTCCGCCTCCCTCCTCCTCCCTCCCCTCGCCTCCTCCTCCTCCTCCTCCTCCTCCTCCTCCTCCTCCCCCCTTGCTTCCCCTCCTCTTGCTCCTCCTCTGCCTCCTCCTCCTCCTGCTCCTCCTCCCCCTCGTTTTCATCTTCGTCGTCTTCAGGGTCGGCGGCACGGGCCGTAAGGCCTTCGCAATATTCAGAAATGGCTATAAAAACACAATAATCGAAACATCGTCCCCAGACTATTTCCCACCATTCTTGAACATTTCGCCTGCACAGGGACGTGCCCGACTTAAAGCTATCCCTGAGCAGACGCCCGGCTGCGCAGCGGATTTGACCTCCCTCAGCAGGGGAGCCGGCAACTTTGACCTCTTCCCGGAGCCCGCTGGAGGTCGCGGCCACGGTGCCTCCGACGCCTCCAGGGTCTGGGGCGCACGTGCGCGGGTCCTCTGCTGCCAGTGGCCTGGGCGCCTCCCGAGCGCTCCGGGAGCGCGCTGGAGCGCCCTACAGTCGGAGCTGTGCCAGAAGAGCATCCCTCAAGAGCATGAGGCCCTCCGTCGGCCAAAACACACAGAGCATCCTAGGGTACCCTCCCCAGGATGCACAAGAGCATCCGACAAGCACGACGAACACCAGGGCACCCTCCCCGAACCGACCTGGAACTGATACCTCGGTCCGACTGTGTCCCGATCCCAGGCCTGCCTGAAAGGGCTGTAGGGACTCGGGCTCGAGCTGGGGCTCAGGCTCGGGCTCGGGCTCGTGGTCGAACTCCAGCGAGGGTCTGGGCTCGAACTTGAGCTCTTGCTTGGTCTCGGGCGTTGACTCGGGCGTGGGCCCAGGCTCAGACTCGGGGCCGGGCTCGGGCTCGGACTCGGGCTGGAACTTAGGCTCGGGCCCCGAGGGAAGCGGGTCCTAGACCCTGGGGCCTTCCCTCAAGGACGAGTTGTTCATCCCGCGTCCTTGTCTTAACAGTCCCGGGGCCCCGTGCAAAACCCCGAAAGCCTGAGGACGGCAAAGACCCTCAGGACCCGGTTCCCTCCGTTTTCTTGACAGTCCCAGGGGCCCGTGGGGGGCCCCGAGGGCCGGGGACCGCAGAGTGCAGTGGCCGCCGTCGTCGCGCGTCGTCGGGCGTCGTCGAGCGTCGTCGGGCGTCGTCGAGCGTCGTCGAGCGGCATTCACGTCGTCGTCCTCGAGCGTCGTCGAGCGGCATTGACGTCGTCGTCGTCGTCGTCGGCGTCGTCGTCGTCGTCCTCGAGGAACGCTTCCCCCGCGGCGAGGAGACGCGGCCCTGGCCGGGCGGGGGGGGGGGCGGTGCGGCCCCAGCCGGGGGGAGCGCCTGCTGGAGGCCACGGTACAGCTCGAAGTGCTCGGGGACCTCCCCCCCCGCCCCGGGAGGCGCCGAGAGCGAGCCCTCCTCCTCCTCCTCCTCCTCCTTCTCCTCCTCCTCGTCCTCCTCCTCCTCCTCCTCCACCTCCTCCTCCTCCTCACTCCTCCCGCCTCCTCCTCCTCCGTCCTCCTCCTCCTCCTCCTCACTCCTCCTCCTCCTACTCCTCCTCCCTCCTCCTCCTCCTCCTCCTCCTCCTCCTCCTCCTCCTCCCTCCTCTCCTCCATCTCCCCTCCTCCTCCTCCTCCTCCTCCGCCTCCTCTCCTCTCCTCCTCCTCCTCCTCCTCCTCCTCCTCCTCCTCCTCTCCTCCTCCGCCTCCTCACCTCCTTCCTGCTCTCTCCCGCATCCTCCTCCTCCTCCTCCTCCTCCTCCTCCTCCTTCCTCCCCTCCTCCCCCCCTCCTTCCCCTCGTCCTCTCCTCCTCCTCCTCCTCCGCCCCTCCGCCTCCTCCTCCTCCTCCGCCTCCCTCCCTCCCTCCCTCCCCGCCCTCCTCCCTCCCCTCTCTCTCCCCCTCCCCTCCCCTCCCTCCCCGCCCTCCCTCCCCTCCCCCTCCCCTCCCCTCCCCTCCCCTCCAGCCCCCCTCCCTCCCTCCCTCCCTCCTCCCTTCCTCCCGCCTCCCTCCTCTCCTCCCTCCTCCCTCCTCCCTCCTCCCTCCTCCCTCCGCCCTCCGCCGCCCTCCTCCTCCTCCTCCGCACTCCTCCTCATCCTCCTCCTCCTCGTCCTCCTCCTCCTCCTCCTCTTCCTCCTCCAGTGCGCCAGACGTCGAGTCGCCACCCATAGTGGGTAACTACTTATTTTGTCCCGCGGCACCCGCGGCGCAACCACGGCGACGTCAGCTGCGACTACGACTGCGACTGCGACTTCGACTGCGACGAAGCTTTTTTCAGGACCAGTCCTATATTCACCGCCGAGTGAAAAGGGGGGATCAAAACTAAAGACCCTTTGAGGTTCGAGTAGAGGATCGACTACGGAACTGATTCACCCCAGCATTGATTTCCTGGCGAATCTGCGAGAAATGCGGAGGATATGTTCCGAGATGTATAGAAGAAGAAAAAACGCGCGGGGAACGCGCCAGGGGCGGCGCCGGAGGCGCCGCCGGGGGGGGCCCAGCGCGGATCCAAGAAATCCGCGCGGGGCGCCAAAAGTTTATGTTTGTGGCGTTTTTTTCGAAGTGTGCGATGTCCTTTTCGCAGACCCGACGACAAACACACTTCGGGGCAAATCAATTCTGTAGTCGATCCCCTAGACGAGGAAGGCACTGCAACGCGCTCGCGCCGCGTCGCCGCGGCGCTCGGAGGCCTCCCCGTCCTCCACGGATTCTCACTATTCCCAGGATTCCCTGTATGTCCTAGGCCTCCCACCTCCTCCTTCCTTCCCCACGCCTCCCTTCTCCCTCCTCCCCGCCTCCTCTTGGTCCACTCCCCACCCCCCTCTCTTTCTTGTTGAGTCGTCCTCCCGAGTCGAGACCCCGCGGGCCCTGAGGGGCTGCTAACCGCGCAACTATCGCCGCGTCGGTGGGCTCCTGGGAGGTCCAGCGGATTGGAGGTCCACGCAAATCTGCCCAGACCTCGCGGCTCCCTGCGGGGTTGCGACCCGCGTAGCTGTCGCCGTTTTCGTGGGCTCCTGGGAGGTCCAGCGGAGCGGAGGTCTACGCAGATCTGCCGAGACCACGTGGCTGCCTGCGGGGTTGTAAACCGCGCAGCTGTCGCCCACTTCGTAGGCTCCTCGGAGGTCCAGCGGAATGGAGGTCCACGCGGACCCAGCCTGGACCTTGCGGCGCCCTGCGGGCTGCGAAGAGCGCATCTTTCATCATGTGCGTTAGTACTGGGCGGTCCTTGATATACCTGCCCCGTGATAGAAAAGGATTGGGTACACCAAAGGGTATTGCTGTTTATACATATTCTGGATGTTCGTCGTCCATTGCACGTCCAATATTCTCGAATATGTTCTCGGACATCGACGCGTGTGTGCGTGTGTGCGTGTGTGCGTGTCTGCGTGTGTGCGTGTGCGCGTGTGCGCGTGTTCGCGTGCGAGCGTGCGCGTGCGCGTGCGCTCGCGTGTGTGCGCATGTGCGCGCGTGCGCGTGTGCGCGCGTGCGCGTGTGAGCATGTGTGTGCGTATGTGTGTGTGCGTGGGTGTGTGGGTGTGTGTGTGTGTGTGTTCGTGTGTGCGTGTGTGCGTGTGTGCGTGTGTGCGTGTGTCCGTGTGTGCGTGGGTGCGTGTGTGCGTGTGTGCGCGTGTGCGCGTGGCGCGTGTGTGTGTGTTTGTTTGTGTGTGTGGGTGTGGGTGTGTGTGGGTGTGTGGGTGTGTGGGTGTGTGGGTGTGTGGGTGTGTGGGTGTGTGGGTGTGTGGGACTGTGTGTGTAAGTGTGTGTGTGTGGGTGTGTGTGGGGGTGTGTGGGTTTGTGGGTGTGTGGGAGTGTGCATGTGTGTATAAGTGTGTGTGTGTGTGTGTGTGTGTGTGTGTGTGTGGGGGGGGGGTGCGCGTGCGCGCGCGCGTGTGTGTGTGTGTGTTGTGTGTTGTGTGTTGTGTGTTGTGTGTTGTGTGTTGTGTGTTGTGTGTTGTGTGTTGTGTGTTGTGTGTTGTGTGTTGTGTGTTGTGTGTTGTGTGTTGTGTGTTTGTGTGTGTGTGTTGTGTGGTGTGTTGTGTGGTGTGTGTTGTGTGTTGTGTGTTGTGTGTTGTGTGTTGTGTGTTGTGTGTTTGTGTGTTGTGTGTTGTGTGTTGTGTGTTGTGTGTTGTGTGTTGTGTGTTGTGTGTGTTGTTGTGTGTGTGTGTGTGTGTTGTGTGTTTTGTGTTTGTGTGTTTGTGTGTTTGTGTGTTGTGTGTTGCTGTGTTGTTTGGTGTGTTGGTGTGTGGTGTGTTGGTGTGTTGGTGTGTGTGTGTTTGTGTGTTTGTGTGTTTGTGTGTTGTGTGTGTGTGTTTGTGTGTTGTGGTTGTGTGTGTGTTTGTGTGTTGTGTGTGTGTGTTGTGGTGTGTGTGTGTGCGGTGTTGTGTGGGGGTGGTGTGTGTGTTTGTGTGTGGTGGTGTGTGGTGTGTGTGTGTGGTGTGTGGTGTGTGGTGGGTGTGTGGTGTGGTGTGTGTGTGTGTCTGTGTGGGGCGGGCGGGGGCGGGCGGGTGGGCGGGCGGGCGGCGGGCGGCGTGGCGGGCGCGTGTGCGTGTGCGTGTGCGTGTGCGTGTGCGTGTGCGTGTGCGTGTGCGTGCGTGTGCGTGTGCGTGTGCGTGTGCGTGTGCGTGTGCGTGTGCGTGTGCGTGTGCGTGTGCGTGCGTGCCCGTGTGTGTATCGTCGGCGTCTGTGTCTGTTTCTGTGTCTGTGTCTGTGTCAATGCCTGTGTCTGTGCCCGTGCTGGTGCCCGTGCCCGTGCCCGTGCCTGCGTGTCTTTGTGCCTGTGTGCCTGTGCGTTCGCGTGTCCGTGTCTGTATTCCCCTCATCCCCAGCGCCCGCCCCCTGCGCTCGGTTCCCCGTGCTCCTTTCGCCGTCCTCCGACCTCCTCCTCCTCTTCCACTCCGCTGGGCCTTCCCCCTCCTCCTCCTCCTCCCCCTCCTCCTCCTCCTCCTCCTCCGACTCCTCCTCCTCCTCCTCCTCCTCCTCTTCCTGCCCCTCCCTGTCCTCATCATTACCCCTCCCCGTTTATGACTGTTCCTCCCCATCATCCCCCTTCGTCCAACATCCTCCGCCCTCAATCCTTCACCATCCGTAATCCTCGTCATCAGTTGCTTCTCCTCAAATTGGTCCTCCACAGTATCCTCCTCCTCCTCCTCCTCGTCCACCTCCTCCTCCTCCGCCTCCTCCTCCTCGTCGCCGAGAAAACAAACATAAGGTAGCATAGTGGACGTGCTCCTGGTCCTTGATCCACACCGGCGGTGGCTGGGACACTCCCAATAAACTCTCTGCTGCTGCTGCTGCCGATCCCCATACGCTGATGCGTTAGGCTCCCGGCTGCGACGTCACAGTTCCGCTCGGCTCGCAAATACAAGCCGCCTCTCAAGGGCGTGTCTGAAATGCTCCCCTAAGCGGCTCCTCGAGGGGGAGGGGCAGAAGGGGCCAGAGGGGATAGAGGGGAGGAGGACTGGGGCCAGGAGTACGTATGAAGAGGAGGAGGAGGAGGAGGAGGAGGAGGAGATACTGAACTACTGCATTGAGACAATGTCTCTCCAACAGTTTCACGAGCGGTGGGGGGGGCCACCAGATGATGTTCGGCCCCGTCGGTGGAGGCGCCATCCACCAACTGGCCACGACAGGGCCCTCCCGCCAGGTTGTACGTAAACGACACCAGAGACGGTCAATCGGAGCCGGACTCATCGCCTGCAAAACTCACAGGGCGGTGGGCCTGCGGAGGGTGGCCACCTGCGCGCGAAGGCGCGTTGGCGACGAGACGGAGCGTCATTGCTGGGTTCTCTTGTGCGGCAGGGCCAAAAGAAGGTTCCCTCGGCCAACGCTCGAGGGACAGTCAGTCGATGCCGTGAACCTCGGCGCTGAGCGGAGAAGGAGAGACGGGGGCATCTTCGGGGCCCTGCGCAGTGGCAAAAGGTCCCTCCATCGGCAAAGCGTACGCTCCCGAGCTCGCACCAAACGAAGCAGGGGGCACCTGCCGGTTAGGGGTTCGAACGGCTTGCTCGGTCACAGCATAAGTCAACGAGCGGCCGCCAAAGCCGGCTTTCAGAGTCCAAAGCGATCTGGGCGGACCCCCCTGCGGATACGAGCGAGGTTCTCCTGTCCTTTGCCCGTGAGTCCTCGACAGCTGATTCCGACTGAAGGTATGAGGCACCTAGCTTGACAATTTTGTGTGAGCCCGTGTGCCCACATCTGATGCAGAGCAAGTATTGCCACCTCGGGACTTCGACAAGCGGGTGTTGTGTGCTGCGTCTTCCCTTGATGGCCCTCGGTCCCCGAGCGTGGAACGCACGCGATGGTTAGCCTGCTACCGATTGCATGCGTGCAGCAGCCTCGACCGCCGTCCACCACCCACTGAAATGTCATGCAACGCCACTTGCATGCGCACTGAACACACGCGTGCAGAGGAAACGTAAGAGCGGCCTGGGAAAGAGGAACGGTGATGGGTCGTTCTCTGCTAGGCCACGCGCCTCGGAACTCTAGGCCTCTAGGCCCTTCTCGAAGGAGCGGAACAAAAAGGCTCGGGACCTGAGCCTGGCCGAACCGACAGCTGCATCGCATTCGTCCGTGCATGGGCGGCGCGGGATGGCTGTGCCCAGGGTGCGCCGCTGCCGCTGCCAGCCTGCTGCAAACATAGGGTTGGTGTCCAGAGAGCTCCTCCAGGGGGATCCATTCTGCATCGACATCATTGGCTCCACCTTGCCTCGCACGTAGCGGGAGGAGGCGGAGGAGGAGGAGGAGGAGGAGGAGGAGGAGGAGGAGGAGGATAGGAGAGGTGGGCGGGCGACGAGGAGGAAAGGGGGGAGGAGGGGGGGAACGAAGTGGTTGAGGCAGGGAGGAAGTTCAGGCGGGGAGAAGAAAGGCAAGGCGGCGAATGGGGAGGATGAGGAGGGGGGTGGGAGGCGGGGAGAAGAGGTGGAAGAGCGAGCAGGGAACGGATCAGGGAGGGACAGGGAAGAGGACGGTGACAGGCAGGATGTAAAGGGGGATCTCTCCTGGCAGCCCCCCCCCTGCCCCACGCTCGGCTTGGGCCCGTTGCCGGCATGCAGCGTGGCCTTCTCGTCATGGTACCAGCGTGGGATCCTCGGGCGGCGGGCCCTGGAGCACGAGCGAGCAAGTTCTTGGATGCTGCGCCCTCCTCCTCCCCCTGAAGAAAAAATGGCGTTGTGGCACGATTCTGGATCGCCAGAACGCAGCAGTCAGGTTGATGCGTGGCCCTGAAATCCAGAACAATGTTTTGGCATGCTTCAGTATCTGTAAACGGTTGTCTTCTAACGAGGCAGTTCCCTCAATGAACATTAACCGTTGTAAGGGCCTATGAAGAGGGAGCTTGAAGGGAGGGTTAATTCCAACATCGTTGATGGCTCTTGGGTTTACACTGGTCAGTTTCCTCCTCCTCCTCCTCCTCCTCCTCCTCCTCCTCCTCCTCCACTGCTCCACCTCCTCCTCCTCCTCCACCACCTCCCCTCCTCCTACCTCCTCCTCCTCCTCCTCCTCCGCCTCCTCCTCCTCCTCCTCCTCCTCCTCCTCCCCCTCCCTCTCCCCTCCTCCCCTCCCCCTCCCCTCCTCCTCCTCCTGTCCTCCTCCTCCTCCTCCTCCTCCTCCTCCCCTCCTCCTCCTCCTCCTGCTCCTCTCCTCCTCCTCCTCCTCCTCCTCCTCCTCCTCCTCCTCCTCCTCCTCCTCCTCCTCCTCCTCCTCCTCCTCCTCCTCCTCCCCCCTCTCGCGCCCTGCCTCCTAGATCGGCCTCCCGTCTGCCTCTCCCGGTCGTCCCTCCTGCGCCCGCACAAGGGCCCCTCTGGCGAGGCAAGCCCTCCCAGCGCGGTGCAGTGCAGCTGCGGCGCGGAGACAGGGCGAAGGGCGGAGGGCGAAGGACAGGGAGGGGAGGAGGGGAGCGGAAGGAGGGGATGAACAGGGAGGGAAGCGTCGACGAAGGGAAGATGTCGGAGGACAAGGCGGGAAGCGCCGAAGGACGAAGGACAAGGAGGGGAAGGACAAGGAGGGGAGCGTCGAAGGTCCCAGCCCTCCCAGAAGGCCGGGGCGGTCGCGCGAGGGCGAGGCCCCGCCCCCCCCCCCCCCGCCGGAGAGAGGCGGCGCGAGGAGGCCCCGCGCCGCCCAGAGGCCATTGCTCGGACGTCCATTCCCCGTGTATTTTGTTTGTTATCGTGCCTGCTTTTTGCTTGCTCGAGGATCCAGGATGCTCCTCAATTCGGGGGTTGCTAAAGGTGCCCCTGGCCCAAAGGTGCCTCCAGGTTTTTCGATCCATCTTGGAGCCCCTGGTGCCCTCTGGGTCACGTGGGGGGCTCCCTGGAGGCCGTGGGGGGGGCCTCCTGGAAATCCTGAGGGCACCTCGGACCAGGGGCACGTCCAGCAACACTCCCAAACATGCGACGTCCTGATTTTTTCAGGACGGCGCTCCCGCAAGTTCAGACCCGTTCCCTGGGGCCAGTTTTTCATCCTGGGTCGTTTTTTGACGGTCCCGAGGCCCCGCGAGGACCCCCCGAGGCCGAAACTTGCCAAGAACCTCCCGTCATGATTCTTGATTTTTAACGCCGCGATCATGTCTGGGCTCGATCCATGGCCCTCGCCGAAGAGAAAACAAAAAAACTGCACACGTCCGAGCGACACCGAGGCCCCAGGCCAGCCCCCGGGGCTCCTGCGCTTCGGCGCCGGCGCGGGCGACTTGCTGCCCTGCGCATGCTCGGGGCGCTGCCACCCCGCTTCCCCCTCGGCGGGAGGCCCCAGAGGCGCACATCGACGAGCCGCATCCCAGCCCCCTCGCGCTCCTCCCCCTCCTGCTCCGCCTCCTCCTCCTCCTCTCCTCCTCCTCCCCTCCTCCTCCTCGTCGTCCTCCTCCTCCTCCTCCATCCTCCTCCTCCTCCGCCTCCTCCTCCTCCTCCTCCTCCTCTCCTCCTCCGCCTCCGCCTCCTCCTCCGCATCTTCCTCCTCCTCCTCCGCCTCCTCCTCCACCTCCTCCTCCTCTTCAGACTCCCTCCTCCGCCTCCTCCTCCTCCGACTTCTCCTCCGACTCCTCCTCCTCCGCCTCCTCCGCCTCCTCCTTCTCCTCCTCCTCCTCCTTCTTCTCCTACTCTTCCGCCTCTTCCTCCTCCTCCGTCTCCTCCTCCTTCTTCTCCTCCTTCTCCTCCTCCGCCTCCTCGCTCTCCTCCTCCTCCTCCTCCTCCTCCTCCTCCACCTCTTCCTCCTGCTCCTCCTCCTCCCCCCTCGCGCTGCGAAAGAGTCACGACGGAAGTTTATCGTTATTTTGGGCCTCCAAGGGTCCTGACCAGGGCCTCGGGGCCGTCAACGAACGGCTCGGGAGGAACAACCGGTCCCGGGGAAGGGGTCCGGACCTCTGGGGGTCGCGTCGTGGAACAAAAACCATGACGTCGGGGGTCCGGGGTCGGCTCGGCGACCGAAGCGAATGGGATCGTCGGAAAGCGACAGCCGAGTCGGGAGGAGTCCCATCGGCGGAAAAGAAGTCGGCAGGACAGTAGGCCGCTTCAAAGAGAGATCGGAAACCAAATCGGAAGCTGAGGCCAGATCGACTCGGAATCGGAAGCCAAGAAAATCAAATCGAATCGGAAGCCATGGAAGTCGGATCGAAAGCCATGGAACCCTCAAAATACGAAAATCGCATCGAATCGAATGTGATCGGAGGAGTCGGACTGAGCCCTGCCCAGGGCCTCCATCGTGGGAGGCAGAAGGTCATACCAGTACTGCACGGTGTTCACCATCAGACGTCTGGCTGTCGACGCCCCCCGCACCCCCCATAGAATCTCAACGACAATTGTTCGGTCGGGCTTCGGTGCGACTCCGATGAGCTCCTACCCCGTTGTGGTCACTCCGTCCCACCAAGGTAGGCCCAGAAATTACTCCGTCTCGGGCCCCGTTGCGTTGCAGTCGCTCCGCATGGGCGTATGGGACAGTCTGCATCCTCGTGGGGTCGGCGGCACGCGGAACCTTCTGAAACATTACTCGCCGAGGGCCCAACCCTTTTATAGTACCCTGCATGGGCGCATGGGACAGTCTGCTTCCCCGCAGGGCCGCCGGCGGCACGCGGGACCTCCCGAGTTCTTGCTCGCCGAGGGCCCAAATCTTTTATACAAATTACCCGACACGTATGCGCACCCCTTCGGGGCTCCTCGTCCTCCTCCCCCTCCTCCTCCTCCTCCTCCTCCTCCTCCTCCTCCTCCTCCTCCTCCTCCTCCTCCTCCTCCTCCTCCTCCTCCTCCCCCCCTCCTCCCCTCCCCCTCCTCCTCCTCCTCCCCTCCCCTCCCCTCCTCCTCCTCCTCCTCCTCCTCCCCCTCCTCCTCCTCCTCCTCCTCCTCCTCCTCCTCCTCCTCCTCCTCCTCCTCCTCCTCCTGCCCTCCCTCTCCTCCTCCACCTCCTCCTCCTCCTCCTCCTCTCCTCCTCCTCCTCTCTCCTCCTCCTCCTCCTCCTCCTCCTCCTCCCCCCCCCTCCTCCTCCTCCCCTCCTCCTCCCCCTCCCCCTCCTCCTCACCTCCTCCTCCTCCTCCGCCTCCTCCTCCTCCTAGTCCTCGTCCTCCTCCTTCTCCGAGCATACACCCCAACATAATTGCAGCGTGTCGTCAGCCAGGCGGTGGCGGCCAGCAAGCGCCCGCATCCGAGCATGTACTAATGGAGGAGCTCCGAGCGCGCGCAACGCCCTTTGGGGGGCGACGCGCACAAGTGGGGCATCGACGAGGAACTGATTCCGGGTCGTTAGCGTGACCCCGAGATGCGTCCAAACACACCCGCCCAGCAAAACAAGATGAGTCAAGTAAGCACTTTGGCGCTGATCTCTGCCATTCCGACATATCCATACACCGAGACTGCTATCGTCCATGTGTATACGTATGCATGTATGTATATATATATATATATATGAATGTATACAAACATACGTAGGCACATACAGACATATACCTCTACGTATATCTGAAGCATACATGTGTGTTGGGTGATGTCGGCATCGCGCCGTGACGGCCAGTTACCCGCGGGCACTTGGCAGGCCTGAGCTGCATGGCATCGCGAGATCGGATCGGCTCGGACACGCATCGCATCGACCGCGAATCGTCCTGGGTCGAAGCGAAATTGGATCGCCGCGCCTGGCTGACGAGGCCCTGGGACACACAAATAAATACACACAAATAACAAGATTCCCCACATGTTGTCGTATTTTCTGGGATTCTGTCTTCCCCCTCACTTCCCATATGTTCTTGTATTTTTTGAGATATCGACAATTCATTGTGTCTGTGTGTTTTTTCCCCTCCTGACTGGCTCTGGGCCGGCCCCGGCCCCTGCCGGCCGATCGAGCCGCCTCGAAGCAGAGCGGCCTCGCGGGCCCAGCCGCGAGTGGAACTGCATCGAAGCTCGGATCGTCGTCGGCCCTGCGGTGTCCCGGGGCCCCGAGCGGGGCCGGGGGGCCGTCGAGGCACATCTTGGGATACGAGGCCGGTGTCCCGGGGAACGGATCTAGACATACAAGGGCCTGCATTGTGATCAAACTTCACCCCACAGAACCCCCAGAGGGCCTGGTCCAGCCGATGCCGGGGAGGCCATCTGCTCCGGGACGAGCAGAGATTGAACCAGATGGTTCCACGACGGCCCAAGAGAAATCCGAGATGGTCCAAGACGGCCCCAAGACGGCCCAGGATGGCCTCAACAAGGTCCGAGAAGCCCGACCCACATCCCACCCTTCGAACCCATCTTGGACGCACCTGGGGTGCACTCCATACCCCAAACACTCGATGCCGTCCGTCACTGCCTGTCACCGTATGTCCATACTGTTTCTGTCGAACCCTCCTCTACAAATGCTGCTAATGAGGATCATCATGATAAGCATCATAATCGTGATCGTCGGTATCGTAATCGATATCGTCAGCATCGTAATCATCACCGTCACCGTCACAATGATCGTCGTCATCATCGCCACAATTGCCATCATCGCCATCATCAGCAACAACGTAGCGTAAAGTATCTCCATCCTCTTCCTCCACCTTATGCATCCCCGGTCTGCTTCTAATCCCCATCCCGCTCCTCATGCTCATCTTCCTCCTCCCAATTCTTACTAGCAACTCGAACTCATCACTGAGAGATTGCCTCACTGCCCCTCCTCTTCCTCCTCCTCCTCCTCCTCCTCCTTCTCACCCTCCTCCTCTCCATCTCGCTCCTTCCCCCCTCGCGACTTCCTCCTCCTCCTCCTCCTCCTCCTCCTCCTCCTCGTCCTCCTCCTCCTCCTCCTCCTCCTACCACTCCTCCTCTCTATCTCCTCCCTCCTCTCCTGTTCCCCCCCCCCCCGGCGCCCACCACCCCGTTCCTCCCCCTCCTCACCGTCGTCCTCCTCGCCCTCTCCTTCTCGTGACATCGGAAGACCGGCGGCCTGCCGCTCCAGCTCGCCCCCACCCCGGCCCGGCCCGGCCGCCTTCTTGCCGCCGTCGGAGGAGTAGGAGGCGTCGGACTCCACCGGGCCGATCGTGGTGTCCTCGAGGGACGGGGTGGGGAGGAGCACGAAGCCATGACCCCCTGGCGTTGTGAAGAAATCACGACTGGAACCTTTTCGCTGTTTTCGGCCTCCGCGGGCCCATACTGGGCGCCAGGACCGTCAAAGAACGACCCAGGATGAAAAACGGGTCCCAGGGAAGGGGTGCAGACCTGTGGGGGGGGGGTCGACGTCGTGACAAAAATCACGACGTGGAGGGTCTGGGAACAGGGTGGGTGGAGGCGGAGGAGGGGGAGGAGGGGGACGAGGAGGACGATGAGGGGGACGAGGAGGAAGAGCAGTAGCAGCGGGAGGGAAAGTGTAAAAAACGCATGCGAGCAGGACAGGAACCCGGGCAGGACAAGCTAATCTTCGAGGCACTCGAGCTGGAGCCGCCAAGCGCATTACTCGCCACTGTGGCGGTACAGTTGTCTGGGCGTCGGTTACCACGCACTTCCACTTATGCTACGGACTTGCCAAAACTTCGCGACGCTACATGCGGACACGCCAGATTGCAGGACCCCACGAACGAACAGAATCGTCCATCATACACGATATATCTATATATATATATATATATCTCAAAATAGAAGCACATACATATATACACCTATGTGACTGTGTCTGTGTTTCGCAGTTCGTTACGTCCCATGCCAATCAAGATCGTGTGCAGTGGTGGCGGTAGGCTCAAATGTGTCCGAGCAGTGGTTAAGGTAGGCTTAATTGTGGCCGACGGCTTGGCAGACGGCTTGGTGGACCCAACAGTGTACAGGTGTTGTACATACACGAGGCGCTCAAATGCTCGATTGCAGCGCCAACCTCATGATCATCTGGACAGAAGGGGGGGAATTTACCGACGAAGACTCTGCGGCAGCATCTTTCATCACCGCACTCGAGATGGCGACAAACACGTCGCTCCCGAGCGGTCGACCCTGGCCAGGCCGAAACAACGGAACGCAGGCTTACTGGGCATGCTTGGCAAAGGCAGGTGACCTGCAGTCCCGGCGCACTTGAGCAGGGACCGACCGCCCCAGGACTCCCATAGGCCCATAGGCCTACCACGAAATGATTTTAGAACCCAGCAGTATCGAAGAACAAACATAATGTTCTTAGAACATAGAGCCAATGCGTCAAAACAAGACTGTCCCAGGCAGAACCGTTCTGAGATATCTCGCAAACCACAACACGTTCTTAGAACACTCTTTGGTGGGCCTCTAGGCGAGCCAGGACGCCTCGCCACTGCTTGGCACACAATTCCGCATTTGCCGGTGATGCTGCGCCTACCGGGTGCGTGGATGGACGCAAGAGGGGGGAAAGAGGGGCTCCAGCAGGAGTGAGGAAGAGTGGGGACTCCGTGCGGTGCCGTCGAGAGTGGCCCTGGGGTTCTAGACAAGCGCACTCCACTACGCGCAGAGTAACTACTCGCAAATGGCCTGGATCCGCCGCGGGGGCTTCACGATCCTTTAACTCGCGGCGAATGCGTGGTTTTAAACAGTTTGCGAGTTGGCGCTTTGCGAGTAGTGGATCGCGCTCGGTGAGGTTAGGTGGACGGTGTCCCTTGCAAGTCCTGGCTGCAGGGAGGTGAAAGCCCAGGGAGGCAGAGACAGAAGGAACGGGATGCGGTGCGAAGAGGCCCTCTCCGGGCCTGAAGGACTGCCCGTTCGTGTGGTGTGTATGCCGGAACTCTTGCCTGCACGTCGACTGGGCCAAGACGGAGCGTCGGACTGCGGACGAATTGAGCAGCATCGGCAGAGAGCCCTCAACGCAGGGCCCCCCTGGCACAGATGCTGGAGGTGATAGCGAGGCGGGCATGCAGCCCACCTGACCTGTCCTGGGACTCCCGTCTGAACAGTCGACCCCGGCCAGGCCGAAACGGCGGACTGCATACTGATTACTCGGGCATGCTTGGCAAAAAAAACCTCAGCCCGCAATCCTGGCATATAGTTCCGCATTTGACGGTGATGGTGCGCCTACTGGGTGTGCGGATAGACGCGAGAAATTATGTTGCATTCTCGGGGGACCTTGTCTGTCCCGTCGCGGCCCTATCCGCGTGGAATCCGTGTCGAATCCATGTCAACCTCGTCGGATCCGTGTCGAATCCGTGCCGGATCCGCGTCGAATCCACGCCACATCCGCGTCGAGTCCGCACCGAGCTCGCGTCGGGCACAAAAAAAGACACCAATTTTTGGGGACAGGCGAGTTCCCCCGAAGATGCAACGTAAGAGTAGGGGGAAGAGGGGCTTCAAAGGGAGCGGGGAAAGAGAGGGGCTCAGCGGGGTGCCGTCCAGGATAGGCTTGGAGTGAGGTGGACAGGGTAGATCGAAGGCCCCGAAATCTACAGGGAGGGTGAGGGCCTTTGGAGGCAGAGGCAGAGGGAAGGAGATGCAGTGCGACAAGGCCCGCTCAGGGCCCGAAGGAGGGGGGAACGGGGCAACGAGATCGGGGGAGCGAATGCCGCCTGTGGCTGGCTCTCCTGAGCCGTCCAGGCCAGACCCCGTGCTAGGACAACTCCGCTCCCTTGCCAGAAATTTGGAAGTAGCCCTGTTCACGGCCTACGGGCGAATGACAGGACCTGGGCCGGGAAGAATATCTGATCATGAGGCGGATCGACGGGCCATCAGAGAGGCGTTGACCATGGGCCATGCGCGCTATTACCTCATAGCCTTCCGAATCGTCGGGTCGGAAGCTACAGGAGTCCATCGAGCCGACTCGAACCGTGGCGGCACGCGTAGTAGCTGGTGCTTCGGAGGGAGATGCATGCGCGGGTTGAATGCACGAAGAACCCAGGCGCCCTAAACAAGTCCGCCCGACCTCCCGAACCAGAGGTATCCGACACTCAGCCAGATCAGGCCGCTTTCAGACCTTGTCGCCCCGACCCCCACGCCCTGGCCTTCGTGGCAGAGGTGCCCGTCGGACCCCGGCAGGGGTCCTTAAAGGCTAACCCATGCGTCAACGACAACATCGAGAGCTAGGGATGCTGGAGGGTCATTACCACGAGGAAGAGGAGGAGGAGGAGGAGGAGGAGGAGGAGGAGGACCAGTGTAAACCCACGAGCCATCAACGATGTTGGAATTAAACCTCCCTCCAAGCTCCCTTTCATAGGCCCCCACAACGGTTCATTGCCATTAAGGGAACTGCCTCGTTGGAAGACAACCGTTTGAAGAATGCCAAAACATTGTTCTCTGGAGTTCAACGCCAAGCATTAACCTGACTGTTGCGCCCTGATGATCCGGAATGGTGCCAGAGCGCCATTTTCAGGACTTCGGCACCGCGAATCAAAATTACTGTGGCACCCGCATAATCCTGAATCCTTCCAAAGCGCCATATCTGGTACGCTGATCATGGGAAGCCGTGAAACCCTTGTAACACTTTAGAACGAATGTGCGCGGCGCTACGGCGAGAGCCGCATTTTGAAAAAGAAACCGGCTCAATCTGCGAAATTCTTGCAAATAAAAATAATGTACGCGGCGCTAGGGCATGAGCCACGTTTTGCAAAGGAACCGCCCCCAATTCGTGAAACTCTTGCACATTTGTTTTAACGAATGTGCGCGGCGCTGAGGCGAGAACTACATTTTGAAAACCACCCGCCCTCAATACGTGGAACCCTTGCAAATGTTTAAAAGGACCAGTCGCGGCGCTGAGGCGAGAACCACATTTTGAAAACGACCCGCCCCCAATCCGCGAAGCTCTTGTAATTAAAAAAACGAATGCACGCGGCGCTAGAGCGAGAGCCACATTTTGAAAACCACCCGCCCTCAATCCGTGAAACCCTGGGAAATGTTTAGGAAAACGAATGTGC